GGGGGGGGGGGGGGGGGGGGGGGGGGAGGCAACAAGGCTCATCAAAAAACCACCTTCTTTCTTCTCTCAGAGCTTTGGAATTCAATTTGCTTCACTGAAGTAAAAGGCAGTGCGGGCCAATGCTGCTATAACACCGTGCTACTTCCAAATGCTTTCTTTTCGCAAAGAGAAAGAGAGAGAAAGAGCAAAATACGGATGAAGTTTACAAATTCCCTCATTCTAGAAAGGCGGACTACAGGTGATATATGCATATATATACATATATATATACATATACATATATATGTATACATGTATATGTATATATATATGTATGCATATATATACTACAGGTGATATATATGCTACAGGTGATAATATATACTACAGGTGATATATGTGCTACAGATGATATATATGGAATACAATTTATTTTAAAGCAAGATGCATCGGACACTATACGCACGCACACACACACGCACACACACACATACATACATACATGTACACATACATACACACAGACAACTCCGTGACAATATGCATTTTGAGCAGCTGCTGCACAGCACAAAACGCATAATCAACTGAACAGGAATGTTTCGGTCCATTAAGACTGAAGAAACTGATGCTGAACAAGCTGAAACGAACCTGAAAGCGATTTCCTTTGAACGAATGAAAAGCTGCCGCCGCGCAGAAGCCGAGTGATATTGACGAGCTGTTTGGAGGAAGCAACAACTGTTCGTACAGCTAACATTCATCTGTCCGAGCAAGAATCCACGAAATTTTGCGTTCTTCTGTAACAATGTTGCTTCAGCCTTAGAAAAATTTTCACGTTTTTTTCGCGCTTGTTATTAAACTAAAATCCCAGTCTCACGTGTTCGTTGTGAGAGGTGAAGGCACCGGGGAAACAAAGAATCGAGTGGTGGCTTTGCATTTTGCTCAGAAGCAAGCAGCTGATGGCGGGTTTGACTCTTCAGTTGCAGCACTGAACAGGAATGTATGCGACTTGATGGACCGAAATATTCTCATTCAGATTTTAATCTTATTTTATTCACATTCTCCTTTTTTATTTCCTTACATCTTACATAAATACATACCAACTAAAATTAAAATATGTTGATACCAATTTATCG